CCACGTCGGGCTCTGTGCTGCCAGCTCAGAGCCTGGAGCCAGTTTCAGATTCTGTGTCTCCCTCTCTCTCTGACCCTCCCCTGCTCACGCTGTCTCTCTCGCTCTCTCTCAGAAATAAATAAAAAACATTAAAAAAAATAAAACATGCAATATTCTATAAAAAGCATACTAATCTACAGAGATAGAAAGCAAATCCGTGGCAGATAGGGGAGGGAGGGGGCATGTGGGGGGAGATGCGAGGGAATGATGACAAAATGACAAGAGGGATCTTTTGGGGGTGATGTTCCCTGTCTGGATGGTGGCGATGGTTTTGTGGGCGGAAACATATGTTAAAACGTATCACATTGTACACTTTGAATATGTGCACTTGGTCGTACCTCACCTTGAGCTCAACAAAGCTGTTTAAAAGCCCATGTAATATTATATAGCTGTAAGATTTCATAGAAACAAACTGGACATCATTGTATGCAAAATAACAAACAAGAGAACACCCAACAATGGGGACCCCAGGAGAGCACCTCTGTATAATAGAGACACTGATAAGACTTGGATGAGAACAGGGCTTAACGTAAAGAATTGGCATAAAAAATTGTTTTTCTAATGTCTATTTTTATTTTGAGAGAGAGAAAGAGAGACAGAGACAGAGCATGAGCGGGGAAGGGGCAGAGAGAGAGAGAGAGAGAGAGAGAGAGACAGGATCCAAAGCAGGCTCCAGACTCCGAGCTGTCAGCACAGAGCCCGACTGCCGGGCTCAAACCCACGAGCCATGAGATCATGACCTGAGTCGAAGTCCAGCGCTTAACCGACCGAGCCCCCCAGGCGCCCCGGCATTTTACATAACCTAGGCTTTTGAACTTTTTTTGTTGTCATTGTTTTTGTGACCTTCTGAAGGTCGCAGAGGGTAGTGAGTATGTGACAGAGTCAAAATCTGCACAGATAGTGGAGTCTTGAGACCAGTAGCTCACTAGCACCCTCTAGAGCTTCCCTCCCCAGGTCTCCCCAGCCTTGGGCAGTTTCCCAGTCTACCAGGTGGGGACTTCCCTCCTTACAGTCAAATCCCATGCTTCCGGGAAACAGGTGTGGATGAAGGGGGAGAGGGGAGTGGTGGTGCTGTCTCTGGTCCTGAAAATCTTCCAGCCGGGACACCAGAGGGCTGAGTCCTGTCTGCAGCTGAATCGCCCTTCCAAGACTTCTCTTGTTGCTCTTTGGATTTATGACAGCCTTGAGGAGTCAAGCTAGTGGCTTTGAAGGTTTTTGATTAACAATTTAAACACTGTAAGCAATGCTCCAACAGAGCGGTGATAGAGTAAAGAGAATAATATAGCGTGAGGGCCAGGGGATGGGGGGAGGGTGAGGAAGGCACCAGGCTTCCAGTGACAGTGACAGAAGCCGTCAGCCCCCACAGGCCTGGACAATTTATGAAAACCGACCATACAGCCTGAAGATGGAATGTGGATCTGAATACCCAGAAGCACTCCCCTTTGAAAGGTTTGTAACAGAAATGAATATAAAAGGAATAGTAGTGACAGCAAAATGGCAGGATTTGCGTACCATCAAAGTTTTCCTATGAGAGCTTTGGTGCTTAATGGTGTCTAAAGAAAATAGGAAACTCCCTCAGCCGTGGAAGGCCCGTGTTACAGTAATTAATATAAAAGAAACATAGGCCTCCACTACCTTGCCCCTGATCTGACTTAAACAGTCTGCATTTTCCATAGCAGCAAAGTTTCTAGATAAGTCCTGCAGACTTCAGAGTCTTGGAAGTTCCCATTCTAAGGCAAAGTATCCTTTTTTTTTTTATTTAAAAAATTTTTTTTAATGTTTTTTATTTATTTCTAGGAGAGAGAGAGAGAGAGAGAGACAGCGTGAGCAGGGGAGGGTCAGAGAGAGCGGGAGTCACAGACTCTGAAACAGGCTCCAGGCTCTGAGCTTGCCGTCAGCACAGAGTCCGATGCAGGGCTCGAACCCACGAACCGCGAGATCATGACCTAAGCGAAAGTCGGACGCTTAACCGACTAAGCCACCCAGGCGCCCCTAAGGCAATATATCCTAATAAGATACTGTAAATTATAGGAAATGTTTGTCAACTTGAAATACATAAATTGTTTTATTAAAAAATTTTAAATTTTCTTGGGGGCGCCTCGGTGGCTCCGTCGGTTAAGCGTCCGACTTCGGCTCAGATCATGAGCTCACGGTTTGTGGGTTCGAGCCCCACGTCGGGCTCTGTGCTGACAGCTCAGAGCCTGGAGCCTGTTTCAGATTCTGTGTCTCCCTCTCTCTCTCTGACCCTCCCCTGCTCATGCTGTTTCTCTCTCTCTCTCTCAGAAATAAATAAAAAAACATTAAAAATTAAAAAAAATAAACATGTTTGTTGAGCTCCTACTGTATATGGGGCACAGTTCCAAGCATTAGAGGAACAGAGCACGACAGACGAGTTCCCTCCTGGAGGTCTCAGGCCAGTGGGAGAGTTGACAAGACAGGGACACAAACAGGGTGACAGGGAGAGTAGGTGCCTGTGGGGGGGGGGGTGGGTGGAAGTGCAGGTGGGCTTCAAGCTGAGGCCTGAAAGTTCTCAGCCAAGTGACGCTCTGAAGCAAGAACCCCGGCGGAGAGAACAGGGTGCTTGGGAGACAGAAGGGGCTGGGGGCTTGAGAATAAAAGTATGTGGGAGGTGACGGTCTGAGAGGAAGGCAGAGGCACCTCATGTAGGGCCCTGAGGTCAGAATAAAAAGAGTAGATGTTTTTTCTTAAGGGTTTTTGGAAGCCATTGACAGGTTGAATGAGGAAGTGACAGGATCCCGTTTGTTGTGAAAACGCCACCTGTCTCCAGGGGAGTGTGTTGAATCGGGAGTGAGATGGTCCTGTCTCTCGTGGGGAATATGAGTCAGGGGGCTCAGGTGCAGATGCAGGGGACTGCCCGGGGGGCTGCTGTGGTCACCCGTGATGGAGGCCGGGCTGGGGGTGGTCCAGGTGCTGGAGGCGACTGGAGAGCTTTGGACGGGTTTGGGGTCAGCAACCCCCTGATGGATTAGAAGTGGAGTCTGGGGGAGGAAAGAATCCAGGACAACCACTAGCTCTGGGTCTAAGCGGCTGGTGGAAGGTGGGTCCACTTCCTGAGCTAGGGGCCATGGGGGAGGGACACGTTTGGGGGAAACAATCAAGGCTGCTGTCTGACTTACAGATGGGGAGATGCCTGGTGAGCAGCCAAGTGGAGATGTGCAGTGTGCAGCCAGAGGCAGGGTCTCGGGGGAGAAAGTTGGGGCCTCTCACCCAGGGAGAGAGGATGGAGAGAGAATGGATCTGGAATGGAGCCCCAGGGCCGTTCAGGATTGTAGAGCGGGGAGACGGGGAAGATGTGGCAACCAAGAGGCTGATGGTAGAGAGGAAGGAAGCCATCTGGCCAGAGAACCGAGCTCCGGATCCACACGTAAGACTTCCTAGCAGTTGCCAATCCAGAAGGAAGGCACCAACTCCTAGTAAATGCAGAGTCAACATAAGGATGAAGAGTCAATGCCTCCTAAGCAGGATAGGATTTCAGGTTGGGGTCTTCACATGTGTTTTGCTCACACACCTCTTTTGTGCATTTTTATTTATTTATTTAAAATACTTTTTTAATGTTTTATTTATTTCTGAGAGAGAGAGACAGACAGACAGCGTGAGCAGGGGAGGGTCAGAGAGGGGGAGACACAGAATCTGAAACAGACTGTCAGCACAGAGCCCAATGCGGGGCTCCAACCCATGAACCGTGAGATCATGACCTGAACCGAGGTTGGAGGTGTAACTGACTGAGCCACCCAGGTGCCCCTGTGCATTTTTAGATTGACATTGCAAATGTTCATCATAAGTTTAAGTGGTTGCAAAAGACCCAATTTCCTGTCTACTGTATCAACATTTAAGACAATATTGCTACTTTGCTCTTCTGATGTATTCAGTGGAATCCAGCCCTGCAGCAATTTTACTCATTGTTCAGGTCAAAACAGAGACCTGGAGGAGAGCCTTCCCCAACCTGCAGACTGGGTGAGGTGCCCCCTCTGTGTGTCCCACATCACAGCACTGACCTCAAGGGCTGTAACCATCTGTTGCCCCTCTGTGTCCCCCACCTAGGCGGAGAGCTCTGGGAGGGCAGGGACTCTGTCCGCCTGGTACCTGCTGTATCGCCAGCATATGGCACGGAATCTGACACAGAGCCAGTGTTCGTTAAATATTTGTTGACAGGTTGGCGGATGGGTAAACTCAACCCACTTTAGCAAAGTCTGGGCCAAGGTTACCTGGACCAAAGTCCTCACTGAACCCAAGAGCCACGGTGATCTCTGTGCTGACCGTGCTGCTCCTCCTGTAAAACCCTGCGTGGCTCCCTATGCCCCTGCAGACTAGAGGTCAAACTCCTCATAGCACCTGCAGGTCTTCCCATTCCAGTCTCCACCTGGCTCTGCCCTGTCATGGTCACCAGCCTCCACCACGTGAAATAGTTCTCCAAACCGCAGTGTCTGTTCTGTGCGAACGTCCCACTCCTCACTTGTTGCTGGGCTAACTACCGCCTTTCAATCCCAGGTTAGACAGAAGCTTTCCCGCTTCACGGCCCTTGCGCGTCTCCCACCGCCCGGGATGGGCTCCTGCCCCATAGCCTGGAGACTGGAGAAGGCCAGGGCCGGCTCCCTCTCCTTCACCGCTGTCTTCCCCGCCGCCTGCGGAGTGACAGACCGGGCTCCTAGTTTGTGCATCCCGGCCGGGGCCTCCAGGGCTCAGAGCAGCTGTTTCAGGAAGGCAGGTGGTAGGCAGACACGGGGGACGCTCATGACAGCTGCAGGGGAAGGGATGGCAAGGCCAAAGGCGCGGGCTCGAGACGAGAAGAAGCGCGCGACGGGCTCCTGAAAGCCCAGTCGCCGGCCGCCTCTCGCGCCACGCACAAAGATGGCGGCACAGCGCCAATATGGCCGTCCCGAGGGATGGGCGGGCCTGCGGGGCGGAAGTGACGCAAGCCGGAAGTCCGGCCGCGGTGTCGCGGCCTGGGAGCGCGGGGCCGGGGTCGGTGGGCTGTGAGCGGGACGATGCCGCGGGCGGCGCGGCTCGGCTGTGCCGCGGCGCTGGGGCCGCTGCTGGCGGCCCACGTGGTGGCGGCGATCGAGCCCATCAGCGTGGGCATCGCCCTCGGGGCCGCCACCGCCCTCACCGGCTACCTGTCCTACAGGGACGTGTACTGCCGCTTCGCCGAGTGCTGCCGCGAGGAGCAGCGGCTCAACGCGTCCGGTAGGGCGGGGCGGCCCCGCGAGGGGCGCGGCGCTCACCCCAGGCTGGGGCGGGAGGGAGGACGGACGGACGGACGGACGGGGCCTCGCTCCGGACTCCAGCGCCGCAAGCCGCGCCTTCTGAGACACAGTCCGCACACCGCGGGAGGGCTCTGCCTTAAGTTCCTTCTTACACGCCTCGGATCCCCCGGGAGTCCAGGAAAGAAGCTGAAAGCGGCGTGCCCAGCCCGTGGCGCCGCGTCAGCCCCGTTAAGTCGCTTTCAGAGGTGCCGCGGCCGCGCGGAAAGCCCACCTGTGGCCCTGGGGTTTCTAGCGCTCCCGCAGGGGGAGCTGGGGACTAGAGTGCAGCGCGGCCGAGAGGGGGCTAAACCTTGGATGGACGAACGCGCTTAGCTTCCTTGTCAGACCCTGGAGCGTTAAGCGGGACTTCCGTCTAGTGCGTTTCCTTGGAAGTGGCATCGTGGGACTCGGCGGCCCGAGCTTGTGCCGCTGGGCCCGCCCTGGGGCCTTGGCAGACGCCCTGCCGGACCGCTCGCTAGGAGGTGCCTCCCGCCTTGGCCAGCTGGGGCAGGCGCTGCTTCTCTGGGGCCTGTTTAATGTGTATCTTTCTCTCTCTTCTCCGGCTGGCTGCTGTAGCCCTCAAGCTGGAATTAGAGGAGAAGCTGTTTGGGCAGCATCTGGCCACAGAGGTGATTGTCAAGGCGCTGACTGGCTTCAAGAACAATAAAAACCCCAAGAAACCGCTGACTCTTTCCTTACACGGCTGGGCTGGCACCGGCAAGAATTATGTCAGCCAGATTGTGGCTGAAAATCTTCACTCAAAAGGCCTGAAGAGTCACTTTGTCCACCTGTTTGTCTCGACGCTGCACTTCCCTCACGAGCAGCACATAAAACTGTACCAGGCAAGAGACTCCTGTAACCCCGGCCACCGGCCACTCGGGTCTGGGTGACCTTCACTAACTCCTGCCTCTGATGCTTCCATAGGCTTTGCGCAGCCCCAGGGCCCCGCCCGCCCTGTAACCCTTTGCTGTGGGCGGAGTTTTTTTTTTTTTTCCTTTTTTTTTTTTTCCTTTCTCACTGGGTTCCAGAATAATACAGTGGGACAGAGGATGTGATTAACATTAAAAGACGGAGCCTAGAGAGGAGAGGGACCTTGCTCCTTCAGGTCTTTCTGGCCTTAGGAAACTCTTCTGCAGTGAGAGGGCATGTCCAGCATTCCCGTCCCAGCCCTTGGTGAAGCAGAGGAGTGGCAGGGGATTTGTTGGGACACAGCCTCAGTTAAACCTCCCCCACGATGCAGCACTCCATGTGCAGCGGTGTAGACTAGAGGAATGTCCCCCCTCTGGCTTCTGTTCCCTTTGTGGTCCCCTCCGAATCCCTACTGTTGCTTTCTTTCCTCCCGTGAAAGCCTCGGAGGACTGAGCCTTGTCCTCCTGAGATACTCTTTCTGCATTTAAGGGATATGCAGTTGCCTAGTTGGGTTCTCGTTTAAATGAATGCCGTCCTTGCAAAGACTGATCGTCTTGCTGTTGGGTGGGGGCCTAAATAAGAAACAGAAACTGATCTGGACAAGGAATCGAAAGTGGGTGTCCGCCCCGCCAAAACCGTGAGGCGGGGTAGATTACTAAAAAGGAAAGAGTGATTTTTTGTTTTCCGAATCCTTTCGCAGAGAGCTGTATCTCTAGAAATAACAGGGATCGGGGGAGGGTGCGCCGGAGCCTTGCGTGATTTGGGGGCTGAGGGCTGGTTGCTGGGGTATCTTGTACCCATGCTTTCTGGGAAGTGTCACTGCCTTTGTTCACCGCGGCGACAGGAGGCATTGGTTTGGGGCACCGTGCCCACCCCAGTGCAGTGACTTCCTCCCCGGTGTGTCTGGCAAAATTAACTTGAGAGTTCAGTCCACAGTGAGTTGAAATTATGGGTTGATTAACAGTGAGCCGATGAGTCCTCATGCATCTCCTTTTGTACTTTTAAAAAGTCACATTCGGGGGTGCCTGGGTCGCTCAGTCGGTTAAGCGTCCAACTTCGGCTCAGGTCATGATCTCATGGCTCGTGGGTTCGAGCACCGCCTCCGGCTCTCTGCTGACAGCTTGGAGCCTGGAGCCTGCTTTGGATCCTATGTCTCCCTCCCTCTCTCTCTCTCTCTCAAAAGTAAATAATAAACATTAAAAAAAATTTTTTTTAAAAGTCACATTCGGCACATCATTTGAGTTAGGGGGAAAAGAAAACTGCTTTGCATGTTAGCACCCATCTGCCAGTCTCCACTTTTTATAGATCAAGGAAAAGCTGTTGCCCGGTGAGCAGAGGTTGGGATGCAGTTTCTGAGACCTTTGTCAAACCCCAGAGGGCTCTGATGCTTCTGGGCTCAGAGCAGGAGGGACAGGGCTATGCCTCCGCTCCTCTGGGCACGGCCTCTGAGCCTCTGTTTCTTTCATGGCTCGTCTAGGACCAGTTACAGGGATGGATCCGGGGTAACGTGAGCGCGTGCGCCAGCTCCGTGTTCATCTTTGACGAGATGGACAAACTGCACCCTGGGGTCATTGACGCAATCAAGCCGTTTCTAGACTACTACGAGCAGGTCGACGGCGTGTCTTACCGGAAGGCCATTTTTATCTTTCTCAGGTCAGTGGGCGGTGATTTCTGTGAGGGCCTCGCAAGCTATTCATTCTCCTGGTGCCAGAAGGAGGGAGGCCCTGGCAAGCGGCGGCATTCGGTTCCCCGGGGACGAAGGTGCTCGGCCAAAGGGAACTGCTGACTTCTGTTACTTTTGGGGTTGCTCCTGTCCGCATGGCAGGTGGGGTGCGGAAAATGAAATGATTGCTGATAACGGGCACCTTCATTACCTGCACCCAGCACTGGGGCGCCTGGGGGGCTCAGTCGGTTAAGCATCTGACTCCTCTGATTTTAGCTCAGGTCATGATCTCATGGTTTGTGGGTTTGAGCCCCGCATCCGGCTCTGGGCTGACAGCGTGGAGCCTGCTTGGGATTCTCTCTCCCTCCCTCTCTCTCCCCCTCTCTCTCTCCCCCACTTCTCCTTCCCCTCTCCCCTTTCTCCCCCCCCCACTCACTTCCCCACCTGTGTGTGCACTCTCTCAAATAAGTTAAGTTCTGGAAAAGCAGATTCCAAGCTCCTTGAAGGCAGACACTTACTTTTCCTTTGTCTAGGAGCACTTAGTAAATATTCCTCCGTTAAGAATAAACCTCAGAACCCCGGGGGCTCCGTCGGTTGAGCATCCGACTTCGGCTCAGGTCATGATCTCAAGGTTCGTGGGTTTGAGCCCCAAGTCGGACTCTGTGCCTGAAGCCTGCTTCCAATTCTCTGTCTCTCTCTCTCTCTCTCTCTCTGCCCCTTCCCCCTGACTTGTGCTCTGTCTCTGTGTCAAATAAAAAACATAAAAAAAAAAAAAAAGTAAACCGCAGAGCATATGTGTTTCTTGATTAGACACGGAATCCCCACCAGTGCCCTCACTCTGTTCTTTGGCGTGTTCAGCAACGCCGGCGGGGACCTCATAACGAAGACCGCCCTTGACTTCTGGCGGGCGGGAAGGAGGAGGGAGGACATCCAGCTCAAGGACCTGGAGCCCGTGCTGTCTGTCGGAGTCTTCAACAACAAACACAGTGAGTCTCCCAGGCGCCCTGCACCCCGGCCCGCAGCGCCCCCTCTTTCCTTGAGCCCACCTGCAGCCCCTGAACCCGCGGGCCCCCGAGGCCTCCCTGAAGCAGGGACTTCGTCTCCGGTGTCCTGTGATAGAAGCCGTTAGCAGGGCTCGCCCACCAGCTCTCCCAGGCCTGTTGCGCGCTTGACCCCAAGAGATTCTCGATGGGTGAAGACGCGCGGGACGTGCCATGGATCGGGACCGACACAGGCCCCGTGAGAGTGGTGTGAGCCTGGCCAGGTGACAGCGCGTGACAGGAGGCCCTGCTGTGTCTTGCATCGCAGGTGGCCTGTGGCGCAGCGGACTGATAGACCGGAACCTCATTGATTACTTTGTCCCCTTCCTGCCCCTGGAGTACCGGCACGTGAAGATGTGCGTCCGCGCAGAGATGAGGGCCCGCGGGGCCACCGTGGATGAGCACGTGGTCACCAGTGTGGCAGATGAAATGACGTTTTTCCCCAAAGGCGAGAAAATCTACTCCGACAAGGGCTGCAAGACTGTGCAGTCACGGCTGGATTTTCACTGACGTCTCATCCAGGAGGGCTCACAGCCCCCCGGGAGCTCCGCACTTGCCCTTCCAGAAGCACTTTGGAGGCCCCTTTGGGGTTTGCACATTTGTACCTGTGTAGCCTTTGGGGATCTAGAAGCTTCTCAGAGGTGAGCTGTGAAAAGATGCTGCACTTGTCATTTTGGACCCGACAGCGATCCATCTGTCAGCTGCGGCGGAAGGCGACCCTTTAAAATCCCTCCCCCAACGTGCTGACCTTGACGGAAGTGCCTTGCAAACAGTCGTGAGCATGAGGACCCCCCACCCCCCGCCCAGCACCCACACCTCAGAAGCTGCTGCTGTAACTCAGGGAGTTCCCGGGCCCGCTCTGCAGTCCGGGGAGCTTTTGGTTTGCACCCGCTCAGAATCTTCTGGTCGGTTCCTTTGCACAGAGAGCGCTTACTGGCTTGAAGTTTTTGCAGTTAAAATCGATGACACCTTCAGGCACGGTGTCCGGCGACGGCGTGGGCCCGCACGCCGAGCCTGTGCAGCCAGGTGGCCTGTCTGCCTGTGGTGCGGGGTCTCCGCCCTGGGACTCTGCGGCCGCCTGTGACAAGTGGCCTCCCCGTGTCCCTTTCTCGGCCGCCGTGGAATCCATCCCTTTGCCGTCATTCAGGGTCGAGCCCAGCCTTCCTTGTGCCCACTTCGGCTCCTGAACCAGATTTGTCCCCAGCCACATGTCCTCACCGGAGTGAGATCAGAGCGAGTGCCGGCTGTGACCTTGAGCCCTTGGTTCCCGTGGCGAAATGTTCATCTGCTACCGGGCACGTGGGGGCCCGCCTCTCCCTTGACTACGGACAACCATTTGGGATCCGAAGGGCGGGCTCGGGCTCCGTGGACGACACGGGCCATGGAACGGCCAGCTCGCAGATTCTGCCAAAGAAGCGCTAAGTATCGTCTGCCAGAAATGCTGGAGTTTTCAAAGAGGTGTCTCTCTTTTATAATGTTTTTACCTGCGAGTCTTAGGTAATAGATAAATACATATGGGACGTAGCTCATTTTAAAACACGGGAAAGGACACAAACAGAGTAACTGTCTAGTCCTTTATCAGAAACACTTAACCAAAACACTAGGCATTTCTGTTGTCAGGTGCGTGGTCACACGCAGCCACAGTTGCAGATCCGAGCCCTGTGGACTGGCGGGTCCTGGGGGTCAGCTGACGACACCTGTGTGGCAGCAGCAGGCCAGGCCGCCCTGGCCGCGGGGCAGTGAGGCGGATTCCGGCCGGCAGGAATCGGTGTGCGGTCCCATCTGCGTACGCGGCCGCAGACGTGCGAGAACGATGGGCAGCGTGTTGATATGTATCGTGTCGACGAGCGTCTTGGTGACTCGAGAGGGCCTTCTGTGGGGTCGCAGGTAGCCTTGGAAAAATGCCAAGTTAAGGCTTAACGTTTTAGTGCGTGCTCTTGCATTGGGGCCGAGCGACCTCTCTCTCAGGGCCCCATGGGCGTCTGGTCCGGCGGAGACGGAGAGCTTCCCTGTTTCCAGTGACGCCGCACCCTTGGCACGTGGGGCCCCCTCTGGACTGCTGTTCCTGCTTTGTCACCCGCAGAGGGAGGCCACGGTCAACCCCGGCCCAGCCTCCCTTACCCGGTGTGAGATGCAGACAAGACCTGGAACTGACGTACTGAATAGAAAATAAAGACTAAATTTTATCATGTGACATGTCACGTGCAGACATTTTTGGGTTTTTTTTTTTTTCCCTTCTAGTTTCTTTGGGAACCCCGAACAGTCAGGAGCTTGGAAGAGAGGCTGTTGGACAACTCGGGTGTGTCTTACTGCACCCCGGATGTGCCGGCTGCTGGTTTGCGTCAGACCCTGTTTACGTTAAAGGCTGGGTCCCCCAGACAGATATGCTTCCGTGGGGTCAGGTGGTGGGTCCCACTCCTTGTTTCCAGGGATGAAAATGCCAAGGACAGCTGGGCTTCTTCCGAGCAAATAGTTTCTACTGAAATTAACAGGAAGGAAAATCAGGCGGGGGAGGGGGTGGGGGGGTGACTCCTTGCTGACATTCTGAACAAGGCTGGGCTCAGGCCAGGATACCAGAGCTGGGGAACAGCAAAACCCCAGTGCGGGTCTGCTCTATCGCACCCCACCTGGCCTCTTGTCTGTCAGCGAATCCTTAACGCCGATTCTCTTTCCGGGACTGAGGATGAGTCAGCTACTTTCTAGAAAGTCCAAACCGTCTCCGCCAACACTCCCACCCAGTCCCTCATTTCTCAGTTTAAGGCGGTCAAGTCCCGAGACTGGACTTCCAAGGTCTGGTTCACAGCCTAAAGCAGGTCCCGCTCCACTCCCCGCACTGCCTCCCCTACAAAGACTGAACTTGCCGAATTAAGTCAGGGGACCCCCAGTGCTGGGGCTGGCAACTTGGAATGATTAGCCCAACTTGGAATGATTGTGACTCCTGGGGACAGGAGCACAGGCCACCTTCTAACCCACATCATGAACCTTCCACAACCACAGCCATCCCTAGGGGGCCTCCGTGCAGGCTGGGTACCTTGAGGCAGAGGGGTCCTGTGGGTCTGTAGAAAACGGTCCCCGTAGCACCGCTCGGGCCCATCCCCCACAGGAGGTCCAGCCCCCAGCAGGCGCATGTGCGTGCTGCAAACACCAAGGCCTGTCTGTCCCCTGTGCCCTGCATGTCTGCCTGGCGCCTCGTCTGGGTTAGGTCTGCAGACTTAGGCCCCACGACCCTGCAACAGTGTGGTCCCCAGGGCCGCTGAGCGAAGGGCCGGAGCTGGAAGGATCCAGAGTCCCTTCTAGACTTCACTCCAGCCCGCACTGCGCCTCTGAGGTCGTAACTCGTTGCCAAAGCACTGAAGACCTACAGTAAACGGGGGTCTTTCTCGTTTAAAGATGCTCTCACAAATTACACACCATTTTAGCGTACAACGTACGAGGGTAGCTCTTTGTGGTTATAAGTAAAAGTACTGATCTCAGGATCCCGGGGGTGGGGGGTGGGCAGCTACACTTTCCTAAGAGGTCTGGGGAATTCTCATTAAACGACCAAAACTCGTAACCGAGGATGGTTTTTGAAAATACAGCAAAACTCGCCGGACAACGTACGGCTCATTCAGGAATGGAAACGGGAAGGATCTTCCTTTGCAAAGCCGACTGACTGACAGGTGGCCAACTGGAAATGTTTGCTTTCAAGGAAACTGTTTCTCACGAATGTTCACAATGTTACTGAGATCATTCCTATCACTCACAGTGTTACTGAGATCAAACCCCTTGGAAAGGGGACTTAAAAGGCTTATCTGTGAGGGGCCTGAATGTGTCTTTTTTTCTTTAGTTTTGAGAAAGACCATGAGCAGGGGAGGGGCAGAGAGAGGGAGGGAGGGAGAATCCCAAGCAGGCTCTGCATTGTCTGCGAGGAGCCCAATGCGGGGCTTGAACTCACGAACTGACAGATGACGACCTAAGTGGAAGGAAGGAAGTGAAGAGTCAGCCGCTTAACTGACTGAGCCGCCCAGGCACCGCCCCCCCCCCCCCCCCCCCGAGTGTGTCCTCTTACATACTGTCCCTTCGTCTAGACACGTCATTGCCCCTTGTGGTGGCCATCCTGTGACCGGTCTGATCACTGGTCCGGCCCTGGTCCCCAGTCCTGCCGAGGGACTTCGTGCCAAGGACCCTGGCGTGGGCTTCTTTTCAGCAAAAAATTCAGCACCTAGGATATGGTGACAGGAAGTTAAAAAAAAAACAACATAAAGCCAATAACATAGAGTCTGAAATGGTGACAGGAAGTTAAAAAAACACAAAGCCAATAACATAGAGTCTGAAAAGCTTCTCATAAGGTTAAAAACCATTTTAAATAAAGTCATCGCATTTTCAGTAAAACTTAGACATTCTTCCTTGAAACAGAAACACTTGAAATTAAAACATGATTTTTAAAAAATCATGAGCCCTCGGACGCGTGGCCGGGGAGCAGGGCGCCGCTGCCTCTGAAGGCTCTGGGCTGTTCCGAAGTCCGCGATCCATGATCTGTAGGGTGTGAGGCCCGGAGGCTCCGATGGATGAAAACGTCTCAGGAAGGTTCCCGTTCCGTCCAACAGGAAACAGCTGCTCGGTCCTCCAGGCCCCGGAGCCGGGACGTGTGGGCAAAGAGCCGGGTGCGGAGGGCGTCTTCCTCCCCAGCCCGGGGCGGTCAGTCGTCGTAGTAGTAATCTAGCTTGGTGAACACCGTTTTGCAGCCTTTGTCGGAGAAAACTCTCTCCTCTTTGGGGAAAAACGTCATCTCCTCAGCCACTTTGGTTACAATGTCCTCGTCGATTTCAAAGCCTCGGGACTGCATTTCCACCCGGATGCACATTTTTAGGTGTTTGTATTCCAGGGGGAGGAAGGGGACGAAGTAGTCGATGAGGTTTCGGTCAATTAAGCTGCTGTGCCAGAAGCCACCTGGGAAAGAGAAAACAGCGCTGTTCATCCACCGTCCGTGTGCCTGCCCGTCCGCCGACACATGGCCAGCGGGCGGCCGCCAGGTGCCAGACCCGGAGGTGGCGACCACGGTCCGGGGGGGCTGAGGGAACCTGGGAGCGTGCCCACCGGCAAGACGGAGCAAAGCAGGGTGACGTGGCACCTTCCGTAGCCTCGGGCTCAGGGGAGGCCCCTCCCATGGACTGACGGGTCTGAAGCAGGAGAGAAGCCCACCAGCCCAGAAAGGATGACGGAGAGCGGAGGGACATGGTCCCCAGGCTGCCAGTGTTTCAAGGAAAGCACGACGACAGAGGAGTCCCCAGGGAAGGACCCGCCCCTCCCTTCCTCGGGGAACTCAGGACCCGCTGGACTCCCAGCAGCTGGATCGGCAGCAGGGCAGAGGCTGGCCACTCCTGCCCGCGAGTCTAGACCACACGGCGCGTCTGGAGACTGAGAACTTGAACCCTCAGAACGATACTGTGCGAAGTCGGTGCTGGGGGGGGCGGCTCTGCTGTGTGTTCTTACCCGGGGCGAGTGCGGGCCCTGTACCCCCCCCATTCCCCCCCGGTGACCCACGTGCGTCCCCTCCTGGACTCCCGGGAGGACCCAGCACCCCCTCCCGACCACACGGCACCCGCACTTCTTCGGGTGACCCTTTTCCCTTCCGCTTTGCCGCTGGACTCTGGTGCCTTAATCCTGGTCTCTGACCAGTTCCAGCACGTGGGGCTTTTTTTTCACACCACCGAGCAATTCTCCATCGCGGGCTGGTGAGAGCTACAATTTCAGCTCAATACAGGAGCCAGACTGTGGAACAGCCAGATGGAAGCGAGAGGGAACGCAGAAAGGACCGGAAGCTCCCAGGCCCCTCCCAGATTTCCACGTGTTCACTCTGGAAGCTCTCCGAACCCCAACCTTCTGGGTTTTTACGGAGGCTTCGTGACATGGGCACCGCTGATTAAATCACTGGCTGTTGGCGACCGACTCCACCTCCAGCCCCTGTCCCCGTCCCCTCATTCCCCGGAGTCGGGGGTGGGGTGGGGGGTGGTGTTCGGTTCTCCTGGAAACCAGCCCATGCCCTTAAGATGCTTCCCAAAAGTCCCCTCGTTAACAAACTGAGACGAGGTTGAGCCGGGTTTGCCGTGAGTATTAAGACACCTCTTATTTCGTAGGAAGAACGGTGGTAGGAGATCTGTGCCGGAAAGAGACCACGGCTCACAGGGCCACGACGGGACTGTGCGCTTCCCTTTCCCAGCAGTGCTCGACACAGAACTGGTGCTTGGTAAAGACCTCACTGCCTGGACGGCGTGGAGTCTGACTGGGGCCGGGGGGTGGGGGGGGACAAAACCCAAAACCGATGGCTGAGCAGGGCAGGGGGGACAGCTCAGTTCCTGAAGGTCAGGCAAGCCGCGGGCCCCGGGGAGGGAGCAGAGCCAGCACACAGCGACACTGCCATCAGGGTTCACAGCCCCACGGAGGGCGGCGGGCTCAGGAGGTGACGTCTGGGCAGAGCCTGGCCTAGAACCTGATCACAGCAGGGGTGGTGGGCAGAGCAATGATCTCAGTCTCTTTACAAAACCATCCCCGGGCCACTCCCGAGGGTGTCCCCTCAGCCGGGAGGCCCCGCCGGAACCCCACTGGACCGGCCAGCCGTCTGCTCCGCACCTCCGCGGGGGCACCTCGCTCACTGTCCACGCCCGTCTCCCCGCCGGCCCCACACACCTGCGACTCCACGGTCCATCCCCCAAAAGGGCACGAGCACCCTTCTCATGGCTCAAGCCGAACCCCTGACTCAGGGCTCTCTCATTCCCCCACCAATCCTTTAGGAAATCTTATTCTACCTTCTGAAAGTTTTGCCTTTCAACACGCATCCTGAGCCACCAGGTCACTCCGCACGCGGGTCCGGGCCACGGCTCCTCCTGGGTGTCCCTGCCCCCCCTGCCGCCTTCAGCCTCTGCTCCACCCCGTGGCCTGTGTGGTCCTGTAAAACTAGGTCCGGTCCTGTTACTGCTCAAAACACTCCGGCGGCTCCCTCTCCACTGGGAGTCAAGCCCAAGGCCTCCCCGTGGCCCTCCGGGCCTTTGGTGCCCAGCGTCCCCAGGGCAAGACCTGCCTCTGATCCAACCCCCTTTCTGCCCCTGTTCATTCGGGACTGCCACAGTGCCCCCGGGCACACCCCCACCTCAGCGCTCTTGCATGTGCTGTTCCCTCCGATGGCATGCTGTTCCCTGTGGCGTCTACAAGGCTCACTCCCGCAGTCCTCAGGTCAGCTCAACTGTCACCCGCACAGCGAGCCGTCCTTGACTGCTGTATTAGAACTGCCGCCCATCCTCATCCCAGCGCCCCCAAGCCCTTTTTAGGGACTTACTTTTTACCTATCGGGGGTGGGAAGGAAGATACACCTCTACCTCTACATAGAGAGCAGATGCCATCATCTGACGTGGTTTCTTATTTATCACTAGGATATAAACTCCATGAGGATAAGTGGTGGCTTTTGTTCACTGCCGCGTCCCCAGTTCAGGGACCTGTGCCTGTCACCTAGAAGGAGCTCAGCATTTGTTGAACAAATAAATGAAAGAGTTCAGCCATCTGACTGAGGCCAATAAATGGCTAAGCCAGGTCCGCCTCATTCTGAAGCTTATACCCTGGAACCTTCATAACCTCCCATACCGTGGGTGCTAGGCAGCTGGCCTCACGTTGCTGACGCATTTAGGCTAATGTACCTATTGCGTGTGCTCACGCCGGCACACCAGAGACCCACTTAACGTGTTACAAGCTATCCTGTCTTCCGTCGGTAATATTCCAGCGACACAAACGGACATAAACACCCCACACTGTCCACCTATCTCTGCAGCGGTAGTGATTTCTCGCTTTGAAGGAGAACATTTGCTTTCTAAGCTCGAGAACGACCCTGAACAGAGCAGGCTTAAACGGTAACAGTCCACCCACACGGCTCACAGGTTACCCAGGTGACCCAGCGAGTCACTCTGCACCACGGGGACTTCCCACCTCTGAGGGTTCAAGCTCAAAGGGGGTCACTGGGAACGCCGTGAGCTTGGGAGCGAAAACCTCGGGCTCCGAAATCAGAGCCACTGAGCAGGCTGTGTGGCCTTGGGCAAGTGGCTCCCTCTTGAGCCTGTTTCCTCATCTATACAATGGGGAGGATGACAGGTTCCAGCCCACAAGGTCATGGTGAAGATAAAGGAAATGGGCCAGTAGAGCACAGACAGTGGGCCCGCCCGCTCTTTGGCTGCTATTCTTGTGCGCAGCACCTCAGAGTTCTGGGACCACACAGAGAGAGAGGGGGGCTGGACGGGTCCTCTCTTTCAGAGGTGCTCACAGCGGCCTTCCCTGCTCAACCACCTGCTTTCCTTCTACAAAGGAAAACGATTAAACCTAAAGAAAACGGGAAACTCATCTTTAAGACTGCGAGGATCAAGACTGTCCCTCCTTCTTTAAAAGAGCACCGTGCAAACTTTAGCGTGTACGACAAGTCACCTGGAAGGTCACATAGAAACCCCGACTCGCTAGGTCTGGGGAGGGACGGAGAGTGCACTTCGTCAGCTCCCAGACGACGGCGAGGCTGACAGTCTACGACCTTGGCACGCGGGATCACAAATGGGAGGGGCCGGTACTGGCTGGCCGGGCCGCACTTACTGTTCTTGTTATTGAAGGCTGACACGGACAAAGCCGGCTCCATGTCTTTGAGCTTGATCTCTTCCCTCTGCTTTCCACTCCTCCAGAAATCTAAAGCCACATCTGTGATCCTTTCTGCTCCAGCATTGCTGCAAGAGAATTCCAGGGAGTTAAGGACTGGATTCTGTCCCGGAGCCCATGGCCTTCGGGGGTCAGAGGTCCCCGACTGTGTCCCAGCCCCAGCCTCACCTGAGAAATATGAAGATGGCCTTCTGGTAGGAGACCCCGTCCACGTGGTCATAATAGTCCAGGAAAGGCTTGATGGCATCTATGAGGCCGGCGTGCATCTTATCCATCTCATCGAATATGAAGATGGATCTTGCACACGTGCTCACGTTGCCGCGGATCCATGACTGTAACTGATCCTGAATTACAGGAGGAAAAGCCGGTGCAAAGTTCTCAGCAACGGAAACAACCAGGGTGAGCAGTAGCGCTGCAATGGCCGCATTTATAGAGCGCTGACTGCATGCCCCGCACTGGGCTCAGAACTTTACACACGCAGGCTCTTTGGTTCCTCCCCACACCTCTGTGCTGCGGATAGCATCACACCCGTTCCGCAGGTAAGGAAAACGGAGGCATACGGCTTCACCATCTCGCCCAACATTATAAAATGAGGATGTGGGAGGGCTGGGATCTGAGCCGTGCCCTGCCTGGTTCCAAATCCCCACGTCGGTTAGAATTCCCGTGCTGTGAGAGATCGTAACGATGCTGTGTCACTGAGTTCCTGGTCCTTGTCATTAAAATGGTGATGTGCGGGGGGCGCCTGGGTGGCTCAGTCGGTTAAGCACCGGACTCTCGAGGCTGGATCAGGTCATGATCTCACCGTCATGAGATCGAGCCCCGAGTTGGGCTCTGGGCTGGCAGCACGGACTCTCCTTGGGATTCTCTCTCCCTCTCTCTCTGCCCTTCCCCCACTCTTGCATGCTTTCTCTCTCTCTCTCAAAATAAATAAATAAACCTTAAAAAAATGGTGATGTTAACACGTATCCTGTGTACATCAGCCTTCTTGGAAGAAGGCAGAGGGGCGCCTGGGTGGCTCAGTCAGTTAAACGTCCAACTTTGGCTCAGGTCACGATCTCGCGGCTTGTGAGTTTGAGCCCCACGTGGGGCTCTATGCTCACAGCTCAGAGCCTGGAGCCTGCTTTGGTTTCTGTGTCTCCCTCTCTGTGCCCCTCCCCTGCTCATGCTCCATCTCTCTCTCAAAAATAAACAAAAAAAAAAAAAAAAAGGAAGAAGGCGGAGACCAAGTAACCTATTTTGCCCATCAGTCCTCAGACTAGGGGTTTCCTTTCCCCAATGGGGACGGTAAGGAACACGGACTCCTTTAAGTGAGGCAACTGAACTCCAGTGCACGCGCTCTGGGGTGAGTGCGGGGAGGGAACTCTCCTGAGTTTCTGTAACAATGTCTGGGGGGGGTTCTCAAATAAATCTGCCTAATCGGAAACCTTCCATAAGAACATAGTTATGTACTTCTTACAATACTAAACAAGCAAAGTAAGAAAGAGAAAAAAAGATCCCGTTAATCAGAAATGTGAACCAGGGTTCTATATAGTGCTTTCCCACCCAGAGCCCTGGGGGAGGACAAGGAGGAATTCACTGTTTTCTGAGGAAGACTCTGGAAGGTACAACGTAGGTCCTGACTGCTTAGGATTTCGGACTTTGCTTGGCTACTGTGATCATGGCTTCAGGGTTCCATGGGTACATATCCAACCTACGCAGTAATTCTGCTCTTACAGGTACGGACCAGGCTCTATTTACAGAAGGAACCGAGCAGAGATGAAGTGACCTGCGTGAAGCACGTGACTGTTTAAACAAGGACGTACTCAGATCTTTTAGGCTCCAACGGCCATGGTTTTCCCACTCTGCTGCTCCAGTGTATAGGCAGTGACACAGAACACGTACTGAGCACTCGCTAAGGGGTAGACAGAGCTCTGAGCACTATTCACGTAATGTTTTATGGCCATCTCCCCAAAGCCCTCAAAGCAGGGCTCCGTTTTACAGATGCAGAACTCAAGGCACAGAGAGGTTAAGTCACTTGCCCAAAGTCACACAGCTATTAAGTGGTGGAACCTGCAGGCGAACTAGGAGCCCCCATTCATCACACAACCTGTCTGGAACGTTCCTAGTTTTAGTGCTTGCCAGGCTCACGTCCCAGGAACCCCTGGAAAGCTGGAGGCCCTGATGTTCACCCAGGCAGAAGGGAAAACAAGTATGCGCAGGCGCGAGCGCTAAATATCTGCTGTGTTCACCTTGCAGTTTTGTGACGCGGACTAAAAAGTCGGGAGCTGCCATGTGTTTGAAGGCTCGCGGCAGGCAGGCAACACGCTCGACAGAGCTCAGTGCATTCTCACCGCCACTCTTTACAGAGAAGAACCTGGGTGTGGGCTCAGGCGACAGTCCCTAGTCTACACAGCTGGTGGGTGGGAGAGTTAGGACTCACATGTAGGTGTGTGCATTGCCAAAGTCCAGGCGGTTAAGCAGTGAGTTAAGCTGTAAAAGCAGTTTGCAACATTTTAGCTGAACAACCTCAGGCCTTTCTGGAAACATTTCCTCTTTTGCGAAACGAGTTAGACGCCACGATCTTTGGGTTGGATTTGATCCAGTCCATCTCTAAAATCCCACGACTCCCCTTACTAAGATAAGCTGCGGACTGAGCCTGTTTTCATCATCCACCATCACAAAGCTCTGATGGTATTAACTACTCCAGGCACCTCAACGCCCGGTAACTTCCACATCTTTCGGAGGGGAACCGGTGGAGGTAGCCTCTTCCAGGCTCACTCATACCCCCCGCCCCCCAGCAATTCCCACCTTCCACCCCACAGTCAAGAAACCCCCGACTCCCCCGACCCCAGCGTCATCCAGGAAGGATTCCAAAATTCCGCTCTTGCCTTATACAGGGTGATGTTGGAGGCGTGTGGAAAGTGCAGCGTGGCCACAAACAGGTGCACATAGTCACTGTTCAGACCGCCCTCGTAAATATTCTCCGCGATGATCTTGCTAACGAAATTTTTGCCGGTGCCCGTCCACCCGTGCAGAGAGAGAGTCAGCGGTTTCTTGGGCTTCGGGTTGCTTAGGAAGCCGAACACAGCATTTAGGATGACTTTCTTCGCAAGGTGCTGTCCAAAGAGCTTGCTGTCCAGATCCCTCTGCAGCGCTGGGAAAAAACAAAGCCGGTCGGGGACGGGGTGTCCGGAGAAACCCAGCCCAGGGTTACAGGCGCCTGTAAAGCCAGCAAAGCCTGCTCGGTGCTTGGAGCACCTTGTGAAACGCGGAGGTACTTCCCGGAGCGGGCCGGGGGCGGGGGTGCTGGGGGAGGAGGAGGGGGGGAGGGGGAGGGGGAGGGGGAGGGGGCCCGCCCCCTGCTAGCCACGCCCAGTGCCTGCGCCCCTCACCCTAGCCCGGCCCCTCCGCGGGCACCGCCCGGCCGCAACGGGCCGCGGATCGGCCGCAGGAGTTCCCACCGCGCCTCCGGGAGGGAGCGAAACTCTCGGCAGAGGAAGCGACCCGGGCCGCCGCTCGTCTGCTCGGGTCTCCGACCAACCCCGGTCCGTCGTGGTCGTGACCAGGAGCCGGCGCCACCCCCCGCCCGGGGCCGCTGCGGCCTCGGGTCCCGGCCCGGCGAGCCTCCCGCCCTCCCAGTCCTACCCTCCCTGCTGAGACTCCGCTTCTGGCCGCAGCACTCCGCGAAGAGGCAGTAAAGGCGCGGGTAAATATAGCCGGTGAGGACGCCGGCCAGGGCCAGTCCCAGGCTGATGGGCTCCACCGCCCGCACCGCCAACGGCGCCAGCAGCAGCAGGCCCAGCGCGGCCCGGCCCAGCTTCATGCCCGGACCCGCGCCTCCCCGCGCGTTCTCGCGCCTGCCCCGGACCGGCGCCGCCGCCGGACCGCGCTTCCGGTTCCTCCCGGGCGCGGCCGCCATCTTTGTGCGGGGCGGCCTCCTCTCGCGCCTCCCGTGGTGGCCGCCATCTTTGTGAGGGGCGGAGCCCCTACTTGCTTCCGGGAGGTGAACGACGGAGGCCGCTGGAGGTCATGAAAAAAAAGGGGAGGGGGGAATAATTTTAGATCTACAGAAAAATTGAAAAGGTAGTCCAGAGAGGTCCTATATACCCTCCCACATAATTTCCCGTATTAACATATTAGTATGTTAACATTTGTTAAAATTAGCGAACCGATATTACTACAACTAAAATGTTTCCTTTGTTTTTACCTAATGCCCTCGATCTGATCTTGGGTCCTGTCCAGGATCCCGCATTGTATTCAGATTTCGTGTCTCCTTAGGCGCCTCTTGGCTAAGACTGCTTCTCAAGCTCTCCTTGGTTTTGATGACCTTGACAGTTTGGAGGAGTACTTGGTCACATCTTTCCCAGGATGACCCACTATTGGAATTTGATGTTTTTCTTGTGGTTGGACTGGGGTTGTGTGAGGAGGGAACTTGACATGGGTAGGGTGCTACTTTATGACATCATATGAAGGATACACACTATCAACATGATGACTGTTGAGGTGGACTTTCACCACCCGGATGAGGTAATGTTCCATAGGTTTCTCCACGTAAAGTTTCTTCCACTCATTCACTCATTCATTCATAGGGTGAGGATTGCCAGTGTGTTGGGTTATGGACTAGACCCTGGGGATCCAAGGGAAAAAAAAAGAACCCAAGGCATAGGTGATTCCAGCCTTCACTGACCATGCATTCTAGTGGAGGGAAAAAAATAAAAATAAAAACGATCTTGATTTTACAGATGAGAAAACAGGCTCAGAGAGAAAGAGGATATAATAGGCTGTGAGCAGTGCTCAGCATGGACCCCAAAGCCAAACTCCTCTAGCCACAAGACCGGCTCTAAGTCAGCCCAGAAGTCAACCTGCTCTTACCTCAACATGGTTAAGTACCTCAGGAAAATGACAGCATGGGGGCACCGGACCCGAGAGCCAGCAGGTTGAAGCCTACTTTTTTTTGTTTGTTTAATTTGAGAGAGTCCCAAGCAGGCTCCACCCTCAGTGCAGAGCCCAACACAGGACTTGATCCTATGACCTTGGGATCACAACCTGAGCCAAGATCAAGAGTCGGATGCCAAACCGACTGAGCCACCCAGGCGCCCCTACAACTTGAAACCAAATGAGAAAATCTCTCGCAGTAACTTGGGTTTTGCACTTGAGCTGCCCCACCCCCAGGCTCTCAACATGTTACCTAGGGTTGGTATAAGGAGACACGATACAGAGAGTGGGGTTGGACTCATTTCATATTTAATACTTCAATGCTGAAAATCATAGAAATTGTTTTTCTTTCTTAATGAAAAGAAACCAGTAACTTTGTAAAAGTCAGAAAATACCAGTGTCCCCCTGATCCCATCCTAGACTTTTCTGCTGTGAGCTGGGCTCCACTGCACGCGGTGAAGGGCGCATTCCTGAACTCCAGGAATATGAAAGTACAAGACATGATTGCATATATATTATAATGATAGCACAATCTAAAGGGCGTTCTCTCCCTCCGAACACCGCTGTTTCCTCCCGGCCTAGGGCAAATATCCAGAGAAAGTCAGTATATTTACAAACAAGATTTTATAACGCTCACACAAGAATAGGATTTGCCCCCAAAAGGGAAGACTCCACATTGTCTTGTTTCACAGGTTACAAATGCCGCGCCCAGGAGATCCAGCAGGTAAGCGGCAGGACCGATGGACGTCCGTTTGGGAAACTGTCTGCTAGCGGATAAGCAAACTTCTGTCCGCCTCTGTCTGGGAAGCCGCTGTCAAGGGTTTAGGGAGGGGACGGTGCTATTTACACCCGTCCTGCTCATCTCCCTTTGGACCCCCTTAGTAGCGTCTGTTCATCTTCTTGAACTTCTCATAGTGATAGTCATCCGTGGCCTTCTCGTTAGCAGGGCGCTTGCGGTTAGGGGGGGACCCTGAGGAAGGAAAAGAGGAGAAGCGGCGTGCCATGCCGGGAGCCACTGATAGGTTTCGGCTCTGCTTGGGCTGGGACCACGCCTACCTCATTCCCCACTGGCGCGCCGGTGCCCACCCTGGTGAGCAGGGACATAGTAGGGCCTCGGTAAATGCTTGTGCATGAAATACAGTCAGGTGACAGTGCGGTGGGGTATGCCGACGTCAGCGTCGGACTAGGTGACGGCAGGTGCTCTATTTCAGGGAGAGTTTGATTAGGCACAAGGCCTAGTGCTAAATACTTTTAGATATGACTTTTTTTTTAACCCTCACGGCCTGGATTCCATACTGCCACCACTGTTCAGAGAACTGAGGTGGACTCCCTCAAGGTCACTCAGAAGGTGAAGGTAGGTTGAGAGTTGAACCCAAGTCTGGGGACTCCAAAGTCCTTGCTTACTGGGTGTGAATAACACAGAACTCTTTGGGAACTAAAGACTACGTGACTAGGATGGTACAGAAAAGAATTTGTCCAGGAGGAAGGAAGAAAAAGCAGGGGCGCCTGGTTGGCTCCGTCAGTGGAGTGCACGACTCTTGATCTCCTGGTTGTGAGTTCGAGCCCCATGGTGGGTGTAGAGATGACTTAAAAATATTTAAAAAAAAAAAAAAAGGAAGGAAGGAAGAAAACGCAAACAGCCTCAGCAACTCAACCAATGTAGCATTTCCTTTGGCTCCTCCCATTGTTGAGGGAGGGGACGGCCCTACTGGTGCTGGTCAGCAAGAGGGACAGGGGCACAGCTAGATGCTGCCGGTGGGGGGACAAATCAGCACTCCACTTTTAGAGGAGCGTCTGGTGACTTCGTGGCGTGGAGCCGAAGGACATGATATAGGCAAACGGTCAGCACGACAGTGCTTAAATGGGGCAAAATGAGAAACCACTCAAGTGTCCAACTAGAGGGCACTGCAGCAGATCGGCGCCACAGGACGGGAGATGGCCACTGAAAAGGCATATACGTATGTGCTGCACAGACAGACGTGCAGGGGGCGCTGCTGAGTAAGGAGCTAGGAGACCCTCTTGAGTATGTATCCAGTGTATCTGTATCCATCAATGTATTTTTAATATTTATTGTTAGTTTTCAGAGAGAGAGTGTGAGCGGGGAAGGGGCAGAGAGAGAGAGAGAGAGAGGGAGACACAGAATCCGAAAGAGGCTCCAGGCTCTGAGCTGTCAGCACACAGCCTGACACGGGGCTTGAACTCAAAAACCACAAGCTCATGACCTGAGCCCAAGTCGACGGGGCCACTCATGCACCCCTACATATTTTTTTAAAGTCTAGACAGTGATACATAAAAAATGTTAACAGTGCTTATCTGTGGTGAAATTATGAATAACTTTGACTTTATTTTTGCTTATTGAAATATTCTGATGTTTTCAATCTCTATTAGATATTTGATGGCCCAGTGAATCATCACAACAACCCCTAATGGTAGGTCTTATTGCTATCCCCATTTACAGATGGGTAAACTGAGGCTTGGCACAGGGAAGGCAAATGACCATGTTCCAGAACATGGAGTGTAACCCAGAGACCCTGGCCCCGAAGCCCAAGCCCCACCCCTGCAGAGCCCACCCCGGCTCCAGGGGCCTTGGTGGCTGCTCCCGGTGGCCCTGCGGCCTCTGCGGTACTCACTCTCAGGCTCTGGCTTCTCTGTGTCGCCCACTCGCAGGGGTCGGGCTTTGGGCTCTTCTTTGTTTCTCCGAATGGGGGCATTGAGCTCCTCATGATAAACTGGATCGAAAGAGACCAGGGGACACGTCAGACAAAATATGGGACCTGGGGGCGGGGGGAGGGCGTCAAATCAACGGGGCGGGGCTACTTGGCCAGAGCAGCTTACATCGGTTGTGCTGCACGTAATTCACGGCCATGTTGGTGGGCACGAAGGACGTCTCGCTGTCTTTCTTCTTGTTCTGCTGCTCTGCCAGTAGACGGGCCTTGGCATCCTCCGTGGAAATGATATTTTTTATTTTAGCGCTGTGGGGAGAAAGGGGCCAGGCCACGTGTTAAATCCTCCCACCTTTAGGGCCTCATACGGAACTGACAGTCAGGCTGGGAACCCGCCGGGGCACGAGGAAGTCCTCCTTGGAGCACAGGGCTCTACGGTTCACCAGCTCCCTTACAGTCACACGCTCGAGTGTTCTCACAGCTGTCAGGGATGCACGATTTACTGCCCTCTTCCCTTTCTTTTTTAATGCTTAGTTATTTGAAGAGGGAGAGCATGCTTGGGGGGTGGGGGTGGGGGGGAGAATCCCAAGCAGGCTCTGCTGTCAGCGGAGTCCGACGCGGGGCCTGATCCCACGACCCTGGGATCGTGACCGGAGCCAAAACCAAGAGTCGGGATGCTTAACCGACTGAGCCACCCAGGCGCCCCTTAACCGTCATCTTCTTGTCAAGAGGAAGCTGAGCCTCAGAGAAGGAAAGAAAACTACCTAAGGCCCAAAGCTAGTGTCGCAAAAGAGGCGAGAACGCAGAAGCCTCCCAACTTTCTCCTGCGCCCGAAGAGGATTCTGACTACCCTCTTTCTTCCATGACCGTCCAGTTTTAGAGCAGATTGTTCTGGAAAAATGAAAAGGGGGCTCATGGGACAGGTGAGCCATTAACGTGGCTCCTGCTACAAGAAAAACCGAACAGCCGAAGAGCTGTGAACAAAGACGAAATAAAAATAAACACGTGCGCAAATAACCCTTACGCCGTGTACCGGAACCAACGTGACACTGCGTGCCCCTTAATTATATCTCGGGAAACAAAACAGCACACGCTTGTGCTTCCAGGAGGCCTTGCCTGGAAGCTCCCTAGCTGCGCTGACCCAGCCTTCAGACGCTCCGGGCACAGGCACCTCCGCCTACCCAAGAAAGCAGAGCCATCTGTGGGCTTCCAAGCAGATGGGCGCAGAGTGCTCTTAGTGGGCCCGGGGCGCGGGAGGGGCAGGACCGGGGGGGGGGGGACACGCACTCGATGCCCAGGTCCACCTCGGGGATGCCGCTCAGCATCTGGTTGGAGAGCATCTCTTCTGTCTTCTTGGCGGAGGAGACGCGGATGTTCTCTGGGAGCTCGTAAAGGCAGTCCTCTGCGTTCTTCGGCTTGACTTTCTGTTCCTCGTGTTCCACGATCCCTTTCCTCTTCTTGAGCTCTGTCTCAATGTACTTCATCCTGAAAGGAGAAAGCCACCGGGCCTCAGCGGGAGGCGGGCAGCTCGGGAAGCCTGTCTTTAGAGCGAGTGGTCCCTCCCAGCACTAGCCCACAGAGCAGCCGTGGTCCATGAAGTGGTCGTCAGTCCTCGGAAAAATGAGAAAGATAAAGATCAACTCGAGCTTTTTTCACCACGCGAAACTTTTTGTGACTTAAAGCGCCATCCTCTGTTGTAAGGCCGTGTCCCCCACCCAATCTACTGCCATTAACATATGTAAGGTTCACTAAAAACAGAGGGATGATGGTACATGGTGGTCATTTGTTTAACAGCCTTGTTAGCAAAAGGTGGGCAAGTCTAGTGTTTATTCCTACAAGGTTCCGGGGGAAAGTGTTACTAGTTGGGGCATCTAAAATCGCAAGAACTGTCACCTTAAAGAATCTTAAGGAGTTTTTCAAAGTTCTCAAGCCTGGGAGGCGGGGTGACGGGGGCCAACTTCGCCTTGGTCTGTGGATAATTCTAGAAATCTCATCTGTGACTAGGTATCCCGGGACTGTGTCTGGCTGGAAGCAACCCCGCATCGCTCGCCGCCAGACTGATACCCACATGTCAGCATCCTCGTCCCTTCGGTTGGTTTCCGCGGAGAACGAGGTCCCCAGGTGCAGGTCTTCCTCCTCGCTGATCCTGGAGGGACAGGCAACGAAGCGGAGCCTTTGAGTCCCACCTCGATGAGGCCAAGTCTCATATTATACAAATAAAACCCCCACACAAGTCCGTCCTGCTTCTGGTTGAGGGAAAAAAACACATACGTGATACGTAAATAGAAGAAATATAAGCGAGCAGAACGTTGGAGGTTCCTCTGGGGAATGACTACATACTTTTATGTTATTTGAATGTATTATTTTATAATTGTGCTCCTATGTGTTTTTTTAACGTTTATTATTTATGTTTGAGAGAGAGACAGCATGTATTTCTTAAAAAACAAAACCAAAATGTCCATGTGGGTCTGAAGCACACTAAATGATGCACCTTTACAAAAGGACAGTGCCCACCACACTTTGAGCGAAAGAGTTAAAGAACCCTTTTAAAGAGTTCTTGCTTTCATTTTTTAAAAATATTTGTTTATTTTTGAGAGAGAGCGACATGGAGACAGAGTGTGAGCAAGGGAGGGGCAGAGAGAGAGAGAGACAGAATCCGAAGACAGGCTCCAGGCTCTGAGCTGTCAGCACTGAGCCTGATGCGGAGCTCGAACTTACAAACTGCGGGATCATGACTTGAGCCGAAGTCGGAGGCTGAACCACGCAGGCGCCCCATTGCTTTCATTTGTTTCTGAACTACACACGCTTTACAAAGCACAAAGGATGCTTCAGAGTGTCCGCCTGGAGTTGCTGTGGGTCTCAGCTCTCTGGGGGCACAGAGACCCAGGCAGGCTCTAGGTTAGTTTGCATCTCAGTGAGTCCCGCACTTACTTATCTTTGCCCCTTTCCTTCAGTTTTTTCATGTCCACCATCCCGCCTGTCTTCATTTGAAAGGGGTCATCCTGCAGAAGGCAAATACAGCTGTAAGGAAGCATCTGTATAGTTGGCAGTGTTTTTTTTAAATATAGTTTATGGTCAAGTTGGTTTCCATACAACATCCAGTGCTTATCCCAACAAGTGCCCTCCTCAGTGCCCATCACCCATTTTCCCCTCTCCCTCACCCCCATCAACCCTCAGTTTGTTCTCGGTATTTAAGAGTCTCTTCTGGTTTGTCTCCCTCCCTCTCTGTAACTATTTTACAGTAGTCTTTTTTTTTTTTTTGGTAATTTTTTTAATTAAAAAAAATTCATTTGATGTTTATTATTTTTTTTGTTTATTTATTTTTGAGAGAGAAAGAAAGAGTGTGAGTAGGGGAGGGGGAGAGAGAGAGAGAGGGAGACACAGAATCGGAAGCAGGCTCCAAGCTCTGAGCTGTCAGCACAGAGCCTGATGCGGGGCTTGAACTCACCAATCGCAAGATCATGACCTGAGCGGAAGTCAGACGCTTAACAGACTGAACCACCCACGCACCCCCTCCCCCTTTTTCCTTAAAAGAAAACAGTCACCTACTGGAGACCAGCCACAGCTTTCCATTCCCAAGGAGGACCCCACAACTCACCACTAGGGTGGTTTCTTCTTGTACCTTCTCTCCTACCAGCAGGGCCACAGCACTGAGCAAAAAACAAAAGGAAGAGTGAGAGAGAGAGTGAGACAGAGCAAGAAATGGCACAATTCGGACATGAGGCTGATGGCTTAGAAAGTCTGTAGGCTGCAACATTAGAGCGAAGGCAAGATCTGGGGACTGGGTACCAAAGCCACTTGGGAAAGCCTACACAAATAAAACAGTTTAAAAATAAAGCATTCTAGATGTTGGGTCAGGGGTAGGGTGAAGTGGTCGCTTTCCTTCAAAGCCATTGGCATTTCCTGGGCTTGGAAATCTCATTTCTAAGATTTTGCCTTCCGGGAAAACGAAGCTAAAGACAAACATAGGAAAATGCCTATTGCACCCTTATTTGATGGTGAAAGTTGACAAAGGACCTACAACCTAAGTAAAGGATTAGTTAAATTATGGTACATACATGTGGTGGAATGCTATGTAGCCACTAAAAAGGTTTTTGGGAAAAGTGATCCATAATGTCAATGCCCAAAATGAGATGAGCTGAAAACCCTACAGAATAAAACTTACAATCTCCAAAAATGAGAGAGGCTGGACAGAACGTTAAATGTTAACACTGGTTACCTGTGGAAAGGAGAATTACGGGTGCTGCTTACTTTCTTCATTATACTTTAAAATGTTTTCCAAACCCGACAATCTATTGCATTTCGCAATCAGGTGCAAAAAACCCCACGAGTTAATAATCTGTTTCTTCACCTTCGGAGCAAACCTCAAGCCCACAGGGCTCGGGCCATCTCCTGGGTGAACGTCCGCAAAGAACCTGGACCCCTTTCAGGGCAATGTTAGGTGTACGGTGAGTCAAGAGAAGGGGCTACGTCTGGGGAGATAATTGTGGGGGCGACCCAGGCGGGGGCGTGTGTCTGTCATCTCCGCCCCTCCTCCTCCGGGACCCCTGCGGTACCCACCTCACCCCGTTGGGCCTCTTCCTCAAGTTTTGCACCTCGCGGGTCTCTTCCAGTTTTAATCTGAAAAAAGGCATCGCACAGGCTGAGAAGACCCTTCGCGCAACTCAGACTCAAAAGGCAATTTCGACGGGCACCCCTGTCCAAATGCTGAGCCGCAGGCTCAACGGTCCAGATGGCAACCCTGCGCTTAGACCCACTGAAATCAGAGCCACCGCGCATCCTGGGGAATCTCTCGCTACTGTGCGGCCTTGCGGCGGCGGCCTCAGCCCTACGAGCCTCATTTTTGTTGTCTGCAGAAAGGGACGACAACCTCGGCTCACAGTCAACGAGGAGCCTGGCCGGTGATGAGCATTGCAAACCAGCTCTCTCTTCTTGCCCCTTGGAAGCCCCACCCCAAACGCACCGAACCTCCTCTGAGTCCTGCTCATCTTCCTCCGACTCCGAATCAGCCCGGCGCCGGCGGAAACTCTTCCCGGTGACCGGCATGGTCTCGCCGGCTCCCACGATCCGGCCGCCGCTCCCCAGTACCGCGGCCCTGGTTGCTTCCGGCGCGCAGCAGTGAGGTCAGAGCGCGGAGCGCCGGCACCTCCCTGCCCCGCCCCAAAGCCTCCTGGCTCCGCCCCCGGCTCGCACCGCTCTCGTGGCTCCGCCCCCATTCGTGGCGTTCGCTTCTCCTGATTGGGCGGCTGAGGGGGAGGAGGCGGGGCGCGGCCAGCGGGCCCCACGGCCCTGCGCGGTGCAGCGGTGGGAGCGCTTGACTGACAGGCGGCGGCGGCGCGGTTGCGACGGCAGGTGAGTTCCGGGCCGCCGCCGGCTGCTTCGCTGGGAGGCGGGGGGGGGGGAGATGCTCTCCGAGCAGGGGCGACCCCGCCTTGGCTCTGGGCGGGCTGGGGCCTGGCCCTGCCAGGAGCGCAGAACGCCGCTGCCAGGTGAGCGGAGCCCGGGACCCCTGGCCGCCGCCGCCCTCTCCCGTCCTCCGGCCGGCGCGCAGGCAGGGGGTGTCCTCTGGGGCCCCGGTGCCCCACTTGGAGCCCTGGGGGCTCGTCGTTTCTCCGGAACCGGGACCGCCATCTCCTTTGTTTCCGCGGGGGCCCGACCCCGCGTTGAAAGCACAAGTGTGGCGTCTCGGGGCGCTGACTTATTTCCCCGGGGTCTGGGCCCTGACATGCGTTTTTTCCTTTAGGGATAAAAAGATGACCACTTCTTAGCCGTGGTGAATGCGAGTCCTGGCGCCGACTGCCCCGCTAATGATGGCCTCCGGCCATTTCATCCCCGCGCCCGATGTTTTGAACCTACTCCGGAGGGTTTGAGGGCAGAGGGCCCCTCCTCGGGTGCTGGCCGGCCGCCTCCCCGGACCTTCAGGGGCCTTGTTTTCGTCCTCTGTCATGAGGACTGTCGCTCTGCCCTCTGCCCTTTACACCCCCAGGATGCTGTGAGGATTAAGTTTATTTAAAAACAACAACAACAGACAAAGCCCAACAGGCATCAAGGAGCGTTTAGGAAATAACTAAATGTGTAAATAATGGTTTACAGGACTTTTAGGGACCTCTTAATGTTCCTTTTCTCAGTCTAGGCCCGTCTTTTTCTTTGAAAGCCCTGCCCCTTTGTAAGGCTACAGTGTAGCCAGCCGGGGGGGGGGGGGGGG